TCAGTTGTGCCTGAGTTCCACAGGAGGAAGTGTAGCTCAGCAGGCCACTCCTGCAAGTGATGCCGAGTGTCTGGAATGGCCTGAATGCCCCTCGAGTTGATGAATGCTCCCCTGATGCTTGGCCTGGAGTGAGCGAGGGCCACAGGGAAAATAGATCAGCACAGTGTTCCACAGGAAATTCTTCCTCAGTGTTTCTCTCTCTGGCCCCTGCGCTGGGCCCTTGCTTTGCTCTTCAGAGCACCCCCTGCCTCCATGCTTCTGGAGTGAACACCTCATTCTCTCCCCATCCAGCTCCTGCCCAGCCCTGACTCCTGCCTTTTCCTGCCCGGAGTCTATGGCTGAGCTGTTTGGACCTCTGAGAAGCTGGTGGAACTGTTGAGGTTGGCTGGGTTCTCCAGGAGAGCAGGGCTGTGGTCTATGGGGTCGGGGAGCAAGTGCTGATGTTCATCAAGCAGCATTTATTTTTATTAATTAAGCATCTCTTAAACCCTTACATGGTGCCAGGCAACATTTAGAATTGGTCAACATTGGTTGCACCGAGTGGCCTTTGTCACTTTTCAGAGAATCACAGCTACCATTCGAAAATCTCCAAGGAGAGGCACCTGGTTTATATGTGCTGCTGGCAGCACCATGTGAGCAGATGAGCTGATGGGACTCGTGACTCAGCTATTTTCACTGTAAACTTTCACAAACACATTGCGCAGTTCTCTGCTTTTTCACCAGTGAGGAACTGCTTTGGGTTTTGGTTTAGTCACCTGCTGCAGTCTGGACTGTCTTGGGTGAAAGGAACCACACAGCCCTCCACCATGGCCCTATCCAGCAGGGCTTCCAGGCCAGCCTTGTGCTCCTGCAGTGCCTGTCTATCTGCAGTGGGCTGGCCAGCCTGTCAAGCATGCGTTCTCTGCCTGCTCCTTCTTGTCCTCTGTTTCTGCAAACTGCTGCACTCTGCTAGGAGGTTCAGGGTCACATCATCCCTCCAGGTCTGCTGCGAGAGCCACAGGGAGCCCTCCTTGCCTCCGGCAGCTGCACCAGCACTCTTCCTGCCAGGAAGCCAGCAAGTTCTTTCTTCTCAGCACATTATCAGGTCATTCCATTTTGCTGAGGGAAATGCTATGTTGGGCAGCTTCTTGCTACTCTAATGAATGCCCGCTGCAATGACCAGCTTTAAGAAAGATGGGTTTGTTCGGTCAAGGGTTTGGGAGTTTGGGCTATGGTCGGTGGTCTGAAGGCCCCTTGCAGGAGTAAAAGCACGGAGAGATGCTGCTCACTCTGAGGTAGTCAGGAGTCCAAAGGGCAGAAGCGAGCAGAGCCCATAGTGCTGTACAGGCATCAGGTCCCGCACTGGGCTTTGCTGCAGGCTAAGGCTCAGGACCCCCAAAGCCTGCCCTCAGACACATGGCTCTGAAATCCAGACAGAGACCACGCGAGGAAGGGTGCAGGTGGTGGCACCAAGATCTGCCATGAGCTGCTGTGTACAGCTCTCTTGGCTCCACAGCACCTGGGGGAAGGGCAGGGGCAAGATCCAGAGAGCATTGGGGCTGCTGAAGCTGGGACATGTCCCAGAGGTGCGCACATGCTGCAAGTCCACACAGCTCACACATATACACAAAGGCACACACACGCATGCAATGGAATACACACACACACACACACACACACACACACACACACACACACGTACATGGCCCATTAGGCTTCCTATCTTTCTCTTGTGTCCCTTCCTTCCTTGAAAATGGAGATTTCCTCAGCATCCTCACCTTTGTGACCCCCAAACTCCTAGATTTTTATTATTTACTTGTCTGCTGTTTGAAACAGACTCTTTCCTGTTCTTATTAAACAAGACTTCTCTAAGAGTTCATTTATACATCAAAACTCATTTCTGCACTTTATGAAAGAAAATGTGTTAAATAATTTTCTTTGTTCTTTTACCAGGTAATAGACTCCAAGGACACTGAAGCTTTTTGATGTTTCCAAATGGTATTATTTCAAGGTAACTATTTTAAGGTTGCCCACAAAGCACCGTGAGTTACTGGCATTCCAGCCTTTTCATCTGGGCTGCTATGTCCCTCACAGGATGACAGCGGCCACAGGGCCCTTCTGTGAGCAGCGGATCTGTCACCATGTGAGGATGCTGAGAACAGCATGGTTCCTGTGGCACAGAGCAAGTGGCCTTTCAATAGTGCCAAACCATCTAGGTTTTCCTGACTATCAATACAGAGAAGACTGATACTTGGTATGAGATTTGCTTTATAAAAACCAGGAGGGTAGCACTTGGGAAAAGAATTTCCTTTTTAAATGACACATGCCTAAAATAAACAAAAATGAACCAAGTGAAATTATCGGCATCCCACTATGAGAAAGGACATTACCACCTACCAGCTTCAGACAGCTGGACCTTATAGTCAGCGCTGAGAAGACACCAGAGCCTTTTGCTATGTGCAGAGAGGCTACAATTCATTGACTGGCTGGAGCATCAGTCTGCACCCTCAGCTGGGCTCCCACAGAGCCTGCTGCTGCTCCTGCACCCTCAGCCTAGAGCTAGCAACCGGCCTGGCCAGACTAGAAATGATGTCTTCTGACTTGGATCCTCTCCGGGGTGTTGCTCCATATGCTTGCTTTCTGGACTGGCATTGAGTGACCTTGTGCCCCCTCTCCTAGAGCATCTCAGTTCCAGATCTGTTCCAGGCAGGGCTTGCTCCTTTCTTCCCAGCTCTCCTGAGCTATAGTAGAGTCCATGGGCTTTGAGCCCTGGGGTGCTGAAGTCCTCTGAGGGATATGGGCTGACCTCAGCCATGGGTGTGCTTGAATCCTACCCTGTTTCAGACTTCAACAGAAGGCACCAGAAAGTGGGACCACTGGGGCAGTGTGAGAGGGACATGGGAGTGACCTCCACCTGGACACTGGTCAGCTAACTAGCTGGCCCCTTAGCTCAGCTCAGACACTTCACTGCCTCTCTGGGTCACTGTCCTCCCCTGTGGCTCTCTGGGGCTTTGCCTTCTCCTCACTTATTTAGGGATCTGTTCTCAAAGGATCATGCACCCGGGAAGCCAGGGGCACACACCAGTTATCTCTGCAGATCAGATGCTGGGACATGGATGCTCGGAGCACCCGAAGACCTCTCTGTCCTTGGAGAAGGCCTGGGGGCTCCATGGCCAGGGGAAAACAGCGATGGGGCTTCCCTGAGGTGCCTCTTGTAGGAGAACTTTGCAGCTTGTGTCTCCTCTACAAAGCCCAGCCTTCTCCAAGAGCAGAACTGGTTCCCGAGCTGTCCTGTGCCCTCCACATGTGGTGGCTCTGTGCCACCAGACAGATCCAGGACAAGTGGCCTGGGTGTGACTCAAAGCTGCCAGGACTGGGGGGCCAAATGGTCACCACATGGACATACCTAGGCAGCACCAGCCTTGGTGTGTGGGTCCACACAGGGTGGGGTGCAGCTGACACCCCCTAAATCACCTTGTGGGGAGAGGGGAGGCAGGCAAGCTCTGTGTCATGGAAAATTTGACCCTGAGGACCTCTCCCTTGCTTTGGTCAATAACATGAGGTCATTCCCTTCATGACATAATGTCTCATGACTCCAGAGCAATGACTTTAAAAAAATATTTTGGAGGTTTCCTTCAAATAAACAATCCTAAGAGGTCAAGGTTCCAAGCTAAACACCTCCACCAAACGCCCCTGCTGGGAGTGTCCACCAGAAAAGGCTTGGGCTGATAAGAGCTAGAGCCGGGGCTGAAGAACAGAGGGACACCCCAGAGTAAGTCCCAACCCAATATTATGAGCCACGCAGGAGGGAAAGGGACACAGCGCAGGCTCACCGGGGCTGCAGAGCCCCAATAAGTCAGGGACCTCGTGGCTGAGAGAGCAGCAGCAAGACAAGTGGTGGGGGACTCAAGCTGTCCTTGTAGAAACACAAGTGTGACACAACCCGGATGCCTGGGGAGGGCTGTGTACAAAGAGAGAAGACAGAGCTGGGGCTCCAGGGTCCTGATTTGGCCTAGCAGTTCAAGCATTTGAGTGTAAATCATAACTGCTAAGATTTAAGCCATGAAACTTCCAGGAGGAAATGTAGAATTAGAAAAATTATTGCACCAGGGGTGGAGAGGTATGAATAAGGCCCAAAAGGCCGCAGAGCAAATGGTGAGTATATTAGCCTTACCTCTAAATAGAAATAATACATTTAGTACACAAAGGGACAACATGAATAAAGTTTAAAAAAAACAACCAAATGTGAAATATGCTTGTAATGCTGATCAAATCCAAAGGGAGTGGTGTTTTTATTTCTTATTTCGTCATTACAAGTCGATGATAAGAGAATGAGTCCATAGCCAAGTGGGTAAAGAATAGAGATAGAAACAGAACATCAGTGGTTGCTATGTGTAGAAAAAGACTAAGAAATGGCATCAACACCACCTGGCCTCACCCAGAAGTTGCACCATCCCAGGACCCTGGCCCTCGTTGCTGCCCACCGAGCCTTGTGCCACCAGCCTGAGTGTGCAGCTGGCGGCATCTCTCAAAGTCAGTCGTGGGACCCTGTGTAGAGATGTGTGCTGCATGTGTTTGCACAAGCGTGCAGGTGCGTGTGTCTCTGCCTGGGACAGGGCCAGAGCTTGTGAATGTGGCACAGTCACAGGGAGGCAGCGTGTGTGTCTTCTTATGGAAATTTCTGCACAAGCCCTGGGGCTGCCTTTTGACGGGGTTGTTCTGTTTGCTATTGGTGTTCTCTTGCTGAGTACTTTGTTTATTCTAAACCTTAAGCCCTGGTCTGACAAATGACTTGTAAATATTTATCTCATTCATTTAGTTATCTTTCACTCTATTGTTTGGGTCCTTCAATACAAAAAAGGTTTAATTTTGATATAATCTGATTTGGCTATTTTTATTTGTTTTTAGTGTTTGGGTATTTCTTTATCCTTGCCAGATCCAAGGCCATAAAGATTTCCCTCTGTATGTCCTTCTTTGAGAGTATCAGATCTGTCTGGATCTCTGAGCCACTGCAAGTTTGTTTGTATCTATGGTGTGAGGCAAGGATTCAGGCTCCATCTTCCCCCATTGGATATCTGGTTTCTCTAACTCTGTGTGCTGAAGCATCATTGCCTCTCCATTGAATGGCCTTGGTTCCACTGTGAGGCACGGGCTGATGAGGTGTGTGAGGGTTACCACTGGGCTCCCTCTTCTGATCCACTGGCCTTGGCATCTGTCTCTATGCCAGCAACCTGCGTAGACTCTGGCAGCTTTGTGGAGTGCTGAAATCAGAAAGTAAGAGACCTTCAGTTTTGTTCTTATTTTTTCAAGATTGTTTTAGCAACTAAGATTCTGTTGGATTTTAGGACAGATTTTCCTGTTCCTGCGAAAGTATCCCTTAAGGGTTTCGATAGATTGTGTTATGTCTGCAGGCCGTCCTGGGCTGTGCTCCCATGTTAATGACATGACACCTCCCAATGCAGGAACACCCTAGGTCTTTCTCTTTTTTATTCCCTAATTTCCTCCAGCCATGTTGTATATTTTTCAGGGCACAAGTCCTTAGCTCCCTGGTTAGGTTTATTCCTCTGTCCCTTTTGATGCTATTGTAAATGAAACTGTTTCCTAGTTTCCTTTCAGGTTGACTATTGTTGCTGGACTCTCCCTTGATGGCTGAGGATGGTTGTCCAGCTGCTGCACAGCCTTGACCCCTTCTCCTCTAGGCTGAAGGAGCCCTGGGCAACCCCAGTCCAGCCCTGGAGAAGGACTCACATCCAGAGAGGCCTGAGACTTGCAGTGCTCTAGGTGGCCCTGCTCACACTTGTGCCTTGTCAGCATCCAGGATCGATGCCTGCTGAGTCCTGTGCAGCCTTTTTCTGGCCTCAGGCTGAATAAATTGAATTTGTAAATAAATAGATATTTTAAAAAACCCTGCAAACCTCAGAAAAGGGCCACAGCTCCTCCTCGGACCCCAAAACTGATGGGCTCTGACCCGGCTTTGTGCCAGTGGAAGTGTGTGGGCTCCACACCACCCTGGATGGAGGCAGTGGCTGGGTGGAGACCCGAGCTCCATTGTCCCTGCTGTCCTTTCTCCTGTAAACTTTGCAGCCCAGAGGGAGGCTGCGTGGGTGTGGGGGCTGGCCGGCCCCTGCCCAAGGCTCCTTATCTGTGGCCGCACTGCTGGAGCTGGGCCAGGGCTGCCCCACCCCTGCCCTTCCACACTGACTTTGCAGTTCCTGGAATTGTTGGACAGCTCAGGTCCCTTGGAACAGCTGCTGCTGAGAAAGGGAAGGGCCGTCCTGATTGACCCTGGAACCCCTGCCTTGGGGCCCTGAGGTCAGACTCCCTTCTGCCAGAGTGCACGTGGTTCCAGCTCATGGGACAAGGCCAGCCCTATGGACACGGGAGGCCGATGTTCCTGGCCTGGTCCTCCGGAGGAAGCCCTTATGTCCCACAGGATGTGCCTCTGCCGAAACAGCCACCAGCTCTGCTAGGAAGCCTGGAATTCAGACCAGAAAGAAGAGGAGGCACAACGCCTGGGCCACTGGGTGCTGACACCTGACACAGCCACCTCCTCCTGTCATGGCGCCGACTTCAGTTGTGACAGGGCTGCCCGGTGAGGTCTCCACACCCCTTGGCCATGACATGTGTGGTCAGCTGGGATCTCGTACAAGCCCTGGCTGAGATGGGGCTGCCCAGCCTCAGTGTCAGGGAGCAGCCTCTAGCTTTGCTTCCCTGGAGTCCTAGGAGATCTGGGTTTTGCTCTGGCTCCCATGCCTTCCAGAAGGAAATCACACTGGGAGACATCTCTCCAGTTTTTTTTTTTTTTTTTTTTTTTTTTTTTTTTTTTTTTTTTTTTTTTTTTTTTTATGACAGGATCTTACTATGTAGCCTAAACTGGCCTTTAACTTGTGGAGACACTCCTGCTTCTGCCTCCTAAGTGCTGGGATTACAGGTGTGCCCCACTATGCCTGCCTAGCTCCCCACTTTTGAAAGATGCTGACTTGGAAACAAATTTTCCCCTCTTCGCAGTATCATGAGAGCTCCATACAGCTGTCCTTGGGCTGGGTCCTGTAGAGTCCTGGGTCCATGTCTGGTTCTGTAGGACAAGCTTTATACTCCCAGAAGGGGCCATGGGCCTCATGAGCTCCCAGCCAGGACCAAAGGAGAGGATTAGGTCCCAGACTTGGCTGTAGCCCCATTGCCAGGCACATGTGGTGTGTGCCCTCTGTTCTAGTGTCCCCAAAAGCCACCTCCAAGGCAGGAGGCATCAGGCCAAGGTTATCTTTGTGATGCAGTTTTTTCTATGTGCAGGAAGAAGAGACGGGGTAAAAACACAAGATCCACACAGCTAGGAGCAAGCAGGAGGTGGCACTAACAATGCAGTGAAAAAGCTCAGGGACCTGGGCTGAGAGAAAGGGCCCAGGTCACCCTGGGACAAAGGTGCCTCTGCTGCCTTCCCATGTGAGGCCTGTGCAGGACACCAGCCACCTGTGGAAGGACAGCCAAGATCCTTGCGCTTCAAGGTCAGGGCAAGCACACAATGCCCATAGGACTTGCAAAGGTGACAGCTGGTCACAGTGGGGGACACAGGTGATGCCCACAGGGGCTGAATCCTTCATCTACAACAGAGGTATTTGCAGTTGGGCTGCTGTCCAGGGGACTCCGGGGCTGCCCAAGAGCAGGGACCTGGCTCCCATGGCACACACTGGCCCTGGCTCCTCCACATCCCTGGGACATAGGATAAGGTGAGGCCTGGCAGGCTGTGTGCTCACAGAGTGCTTCGGGAGGCAGAGAGGCCACACGATCACAACCTGTGTGATATACAGCCCCAAGTGCATTGATCAAATCCATAGAAGCCCAGTTTCTACAAACCACCCTTCTGGGAACAAGAGCAACCTTAGATACCTGTTTTTTAATACATGGGCATGGATCACGAGTTACCACCCCGCAGGATGAAGCGGCTTCTCTGTTCCTGGCGTTAGCCCCTCCCAGCTGTGCACTGTGTTTTAGTGCCAAAGGAACTCTGAGGGGCACTGGAACCTGTGCTGTCCCTTGCTGGTTTTCATGGAATCTCTAAGGTCCTGGGAAATGCATGCTTCAGAGATAGCAGCTTGCTGGCTAGGCCTGTAGAAGAGAAGCAGAAGGCAACTGAGTTTCTGACACTTAGCTGTGCCCTTCTGATGCTTGGTCCATTTTGGTTCCATCAAGTCCCTGGCAGGGGATAGAGAGGAAGGGATTTGCTGGGCCTTAACATCTTCTGACTCCTCTAAGCCCTGTACTATGTCTCAAAAGCTGAGTCTCTGGCACCTGGACAAGGTCCCTCATATCTAGTCCTCAGCCCTTCTGCTGCCTCAGGAACTAAAGGTAGTGGGTGGATGGAGGGTGATGGACATGAGCTGTCTTGGTTAGAGACGGGTGCTATCTACCCTCTCACTCAGTGCTGAGCCGGGTCCTGCTCAGAGATGTGTCTCCATGTCCTGCAAAGAATCCCACTTGGGAACAGACTCAGGCCCCCCCATCCCCACTGTGTGCTGCCTCTCACACCAGGCATGGGCCAGGGAGGGGGCACTGTCCAGGTGCTGGCTGTGGAGAGAGCAGACCTGCTGTGTTCCTTGGACCCACAGGCTGTGCTCCTCCTGTGGTGGGGTGCAGACTCTATGAAGATGTGTCCCAACTGAGGCCAGCTGACCCCCAGATTTGGTCTTCCTGACACTCCACAGCCCTGCTGCCTGGCCATGGGGTCCTGGTGTGCAGGGGGACACAGTTGGTCTAGACCTGTGGTTTGTAAGGCTTTTTACATATTTATTTTTGCCACTGGAACCTGAAGATGCCCCTCACAAAATCATAGACCTGTAATGCCAAAGGGCTGCCACCATCCCCGAGTACCCCATGGGGTCCTAACCACAGAGCTGAAGTCCTGCCGCCCAATCTCAATGCTGTTTCCATCTCCAGTGAGTCCATCTCCAGGCTGTTTGCTTCCCTTCAAATTGGGGGACAGGGTACACCCTGCTCCAGCCCTAGGACAACCTGGAAGGAAATCTGGGTGTCTAACCGGAGCCCTAGTTGCTTTTTTGGCAAAATGAAGTTTGAAAAGTTTGCCTTACCAGAAGAGCCAGGAAAAGTCAGGCAGGAGCTCAGGACTCTGAGGACCACTGAAGGAGGAAACCATGGATGTCGGCTGCAGCTCTGCACCTCAGGGTGCGCCAGGCCTTCTCGGGGCCCACAGACCTTCTCTGCTGACCCGTGAGGTGGTCAGCAGGCCACATGTGGCTGGGACCTGGTATGGGCAGCAGGGCTCGCCCTCTCCTGGTTCCCACAGCTCCAGTCCTTTATTCTTTGGCCCACATATACTTAACTGTTTCTTTGGCTTTGTTTCCTCCAGACTTAAAGTTGTGCGCTTACCCAAGATGAAAATGCCTGGTGTCTATCAAGGGCCTCTAGACAAGATCTCTGCAGAAGTACCTCTGACTACCATTCAATAAATGCGACCCTGTTCAGCTTGAAGAAGTCTGATCAGTCATCACCCATTACCCCCTCACGGCATTTCGGGTTGCTTCTTCATTGTTGCGGGCAGCACTTAGTTAGAAATATTATAGGCAGTGAGACAGGTCTAGATCCTCAAAGAAGCCAGTGCAGATACCTTACAGATGTTGGGGAGACAGAGATAACTCCTGCTTGTATGCCAGGCCTCAAGACAAAGGATCAAACAAATGCATCCACATCCCAAAGACTGGTATTCTAATTAGTTCCCTATCACCCTGGAGTCACTGTCCCATCCCCCTAGGGGAAAGTTCACAACTCCAAGAAAGCCCACTTCCTACATGGCTTGCTTTCCCATTTGTCCCCAATTTAATCAACCTTATCTGAACTGTTAATTTTATTGGCTAACTATAGTTATGCCCCAACTTATACCCGTCTGCCTTGTAAGTTCCCAGTCCCCACCTCCACCCCCTTCTTGAACCCATGGTTTTACTCTATAAAAGACAGTGTCTTGGGCAGCCAGCTCGGGACCCCCTTCTGTCTCACTTCAGACAGAGGCTTCCTTTCTCTCAATAAATGTATTCTACTGTTAACCTCCATTGTTTCTAAAATTCATTCTTCAATTTTAGAGAACACGAACTCACAGGCATAGTAGGTTGGGAGTTTCATTCCCCTATATCTCTTTAACCTTCACCGTCCTCATGGGTTCAAAGCCCCCTGCCTTGTGCACCCCTTGGGTGAGCCTCGATCCCGCGGCCAGGCTGGGGGCAGCGCCCCCTCTTCCTTCCCTCCAACCCCTCTCAGGACAGTGGGCTGCCTTTCCCAGCAGGGTGCCCTCCCCATTTGTGATGGCCCTCTCATGGCCCTGCTAGGGCCACCTTTTCTATCCCAGCGGTGTTGTCCTGCTGTCTCCTCTTCCACCCCAATCCTGGGCCCGTCTGAGGCAGGAGACAGGGGCTTTACCATCTTCCTTCTGTAGATGGCTCCTTCTGGGATGACAAGCTTCAGTCAGGGACCCCAAGTGGCATCTGGCAGCCAGCCCCAGCTAGGTCTATGAGGAGGAGCCTGTCTGCTTCCTGTGCCTGGAGGCACTGCAGCTCAGTGGGCTCACTGGGCTCCAGGTCAAACTAGGGCTCCTCCTCCAGGCAGGGCTGGCCTGACCCTGATTCCTGTTTGGAGTACAGTGGCTGGGGCTGGTGATCAAGGGCTGCAGCCAGCAGCAGCCAAGCAAGGAGCCTAGGCGGTGAGGGGATCTTGGAGGACACTTCCTGCCTCAGCCTCAGTGTGGCAGCTTAGCCATACCTGACACACACCTGCTCTCATTCTCTTTGGTCTTTCCCTCTTCTCATTTCTTCTTTCCCTCCCATCAAGAAAGCAGGTGCAGGGAAAGCGCCTCATGCTTTTTATACTCAGTGTGAACAGGGCAGGCCATGATTGTTGAGTGACTGTGTGCCCTCATTCATGGCCCATATCATTTAATCAACCCAGGTCCCTATGACCGGGGAACACTAACACCCTTGTGAGCATGGGCCCAGGGCTTTCTGGCCCAGGCAGACATACCAGAGGCCCTCATCTAGGCAGCTGGCTGACTATAGGCCATGGGCAGCCCTGGCCCACTGATTGCTGTTGTAAGTAAACTTTCTAGGCACATGGCTACTCCCCAGGTGCCTAGCACAGAGCTAGGATGGTTAACTTTGCACTGCCAGCCTGCTGCTACATCACTCTTAGCCATTATTAACACTAAAAGGAAAAGCCCTCAGACTTTAAAATACTGTGCAGTTTATTTGAGCAAGACCATTTCCAAATGGGGTGCCCGGAACCAGGTCGGCACAGCGGGTGTGGCTGAGGCAGCTCTTGGCTGCAGGGTCACCGAGTGATACAGCTGAGCCCCTGTGGTCCCTGCAGCTCTGTCCCAGCTGGCAATGCATGCTGGCTGGGTGTGCAGGCACTGAGTGCAGGTCCCAGCCCAGATCAATGGCTTCTTGTGCATTTGGTATCACCACTATTAGGGTGGTGCTGAGCCCCATCTGGAAGATGATGGTGACCAGGACAATGGCCTTGCTGTGTGGTCCTTCTCACCGGCTGAGGAACACGCTAGACAGTATGTCACATCCGTTTACAATGCACAGCGGGGCACGCAGCTGTGGGATCAGGCTTCTATATCAGGCAGCTTAGCTGCCTCCAAAAGTTACTATGCTCCTTGGCAGGTGACCCCCTTGTTCTGGGTCCGGGCCACCCCTGCCCAGCCCTCATCAGTGGGGGTGAATTTTCACTTTCAAAGAATGGAAACGAGCTTATCCCCTTATGCCCGACTCAGTCTGACATTGGGGTTCAGGGCATTGCTGTACAGTTCTGAATTTGTTGCTTCCCATTTCTGACTGCTTGGTGAAATTCATCTTGGGGAGCAATGCACAAGCCAAGCGGGACCAGCCTTGGATGACGGAAGTGGGGAGCTTCTCTGCAGACACCCGGAGCTCTCCAGCCAGGAGAAGCTACAGTGCCATTGCGTGGTGGAGACTGGTGATAGGATTTGGGGCAGGTTTCTCACTGCTGTGGGCCCAGGGGACCCCTCAGGGTCATGAGAAGCTTGAGAGATGGAACAGAGCATGGGAGGAGAGGGGATGGGCCCCAGAGTGAGGGCTGGAAGGCGGGAGGGGTTGGCGGCATACAGCAGAGATGGTAGGGGCACTGCTCCTGTGTGAGGGGACTAATTCGGTGGGACAGCATGTGAAGCTAGCCAGTGGGGACATCGAGGCTGGAAACATGGGGAACAGTGCCTGTCACCTGTTAGGCAGTTCAGGTCTTGGATTCGAGTCTCCCAACAACAAACGTCAGTGATGGCAAACATCTCCCCCATTCCAGCCCCGTGCCAGCCAGGCTGGCTGTGCAGTGTGTGAAAAGTTAGTCCCTGACTCTCAGGCAGCCCCAGGGGCCAGGGTCTCTCTCCCAGGCTCACATAGCCCACCTGTGTGCACTATGTGCACTATGGGGGTCGCATCCTTCATCAGGGAATGCGACCCTCAGCAGCAGTAGTGCTGTCTCCTCAGGGCTGTCCTTGGGCCAAGCACCAGCTCTGTGACCCAGGAGAGCCCCCCGTGCCAGTGGGTGGCTGCCAGTGGTGCAGAGGGTAAGGACATCAAGGTGGCCGGCATGGCCATCAGTCACATGTGTCCAGCTGGGAGAGTTTGTCCTCGAGCTCCCAGTGACTGAGCCCAAGCACAGAGTGGAGGTGGTGGGAGGCTGTGGCTCTGCGCCACAATGGGAGCTCCTCGATGGCCCACTCACCTAGCACCTGTTGCCTGGGGATGGATCAGTGTGCTGGGCATCTCGGTGCGGGTAAGGTTCTGCCTCCTGGGGCTCTCACTCCAGGGTAGGACAGGCTCTAAGCAGTGAAACAGAGCTGGAGAGGGAATGGTGGGGACCAAGAGGGCTGCATGGAACCCAGCAGGCACCTTGGGATTCGGCAGAATGAAGCCGAGGGCCCTAGGAGGGAGGAAATGGCCCCACAGTGCAGGGAGAGGGCAGGTGTGCGACTGGGCGCCCTCAGGGCCAGAGGCCTCTGTGAGGCTGTTATGGATTAAAAACTGGTGGTCAACTTACACCAGCTGAATTAAATCAGCATAATGCTGAGTGAAGTTGTTCCACCTGAGGAAAGCTGACAGCATAAATAGACGTGGAAAGGAAGTGTGAGGCATTGTGGGTTCTCCTAAGTGTTGTTGTCTGGAGCCGTTGGTTCTCCTGGAGGAGCTTGTCACTCTGGCCTTCCTGATAGGAACTCAGCTGTTACCATCTGAGGAGCTCAGGACCTTGTTGCTGAGAGTGGCTTTGGAGCACTTGGGGAGGCTCTGGTCCTTACTTTGAGGATTGCTTCCTGGCTCTGGAGGTGAAGAGGTATGCTGTTTAATTTCCAAGTTTGTCAAGCTGGCTTTCTGGCATGTATTCATTCAACTGTTCTCATCCTTGGAGAAGCGTGGGACCTCGCTGTCACTGAGGATGGTTGTGATACTTTTCAGGGCAGCCCTGGCTCTTACCATAAGCGTGACTTCTTGGCACTGGTGCAGAACCCTCGACCTACTCACAGCTCCTTCACCTGCTGGCATAGACTTTCTGGCTTCCACTGCTAACCTGTGTGCCTTTCTAGTACAGATCCATGAAAGAGACTGGCATGAGTCCTTCTTTTGGGCTCTAGACCTCCAGTTGGACTCAGGGGAGGCACTAGGTTTTCATCTGGATTCACATAGGACATTGCTGAGGGCTGGGTCTTTAGTGTTGTGGGCAGATTTTCTGCCCTTTCTTGTATTTAATATTAAGTGACCATCATAAAAAATATTATAAATTCTGTGTCTTGTATGTAATTGTTCTCTTCATAAACCCTGTCTACAACAGAGGCCCATATGGTAGAGGAGCCCCACGGGGAAGGCATTGTGGTGATTCGTTAGCAGCCAGGGTACAGCAGAGTTGTGGTGAGAAGTGGCCATTTGGGAATAGATGAGGTGCCAGGATCTGCTGCCGGAGTGTGGGAAGCGGGGTGGGTAGCCTGAGGGAGGCCAAGGCGACTTAGGTGGAACGACAGGGACCCTGGGGAACCTCACACCCTGCAGGACCCTCATGCTGAGGAGCACTGGGGCAGCTGCACTTTGTGACCATAAGCAGGAGGACAAGGCCTTGCCCACTGCTGGCCCTGGCCCAGGTGGGATCTGTGACTATGGGCAGCCTGGTTGGGCAGGAGTTGTGGGACAGTGTGCTCCATCCTCAGCGCCAAGTAGCACAATCTATCCCGATGTCACCCGTCTTTGGACACTTGGGGTGTCAGTTAGCCTGCTGGGCGTGCCTGGTGCAGGCAGCCTAATTGTGCTGGGCCAGGAAGGAAGGCGCTCGATTACCCGCTGGGCCTGCTGCCCGTGACTCCTGGTTATTTATCTGCCCCGTCTTCCCAGCCTGCAGCCCACTTTGGGCTGGTGAGACTGACTCACTTCCTGTTTCTAATCCTGCTTGCTCCTGATATGGGCAGATTTACCCCAAAGGTGGGGGTGGGGTAGGGTGGGGGTTAGCTAGGTTTCCAGACACTCTGTGCCTGAACCAGCCAGCCCACAGGGTGGTTGGGAGCAGGTGTGGAGCAGGTGGAGGATGGAGGGGTAGCTCCTCCCCACTGGACCCATCTGCTCCATGCCAGGGCAAGTCCAGGACTGGGGCCAGCCATCAGTTCTGTCCTTCCCTCAGAGGCCCATGGAAGGACAAAAACTCCCACTCCAACAGAAATGAGGGGACTTTTCCTGACTGGGAAAAACCAGCCGATTCAAAGGGCTGCACCCTCCCTGAGAGCCACAGAGAGGCTCGGACTCCTGACACCTCCTTAGCGGGAGCTTGTCCAGCAGAGGCACGACTCACAGCAGACACCCTCCCTGGTGTCACATGGCTCTGCCTCTCATTTTCTTTTCTTCAATTGTAAGTCCCTTAGATGCTGGGGTGTGGTGCCAACAAGTTCCCACACTCCTCCGAGTGGCCCTGAAGCAGGGGATCAGGGTGGTGCAAGCCGGCTGGGCCACCTCTTAGTCATAGAGATACAGAAGCAGAAGAGTGGCCAAGCCCTGCAGCGGGCCAGAGAACGTGATCTTCAGCTTGTCTAGCATGAGACCAAGCAGGCTTCGGATAGGATGGGCCAGGTCTGACGTCAGAAGGGCACGTAAAAGATGGTGGCCACTGCTTGCTCTCCCTTGTTCTTCTCCCTCCCTCCCTCTCCTTCTCCCTCTTTTCCTCCTCCCTCTCTCTCCCTTTCTCAGCAGCCCTCTCTGTCCTCTGCAGAGCGAGTCCCTTTCCTCCTTTACCTACGCACTCACTCTGTGGAGCACTTCTGCTTTTCCTTACCTTTTTTTTTTAATATTTTATTTAAAAGGAAAAAGAGAAAAATAAGCAGAAAACAAAACAAAACAAAAAAAAACAGTGTAAGGGTACAAGTCAAACATATCAAGACTGTGTAACACCATTCAAGTGGATGAAAGCATTGTAGAGTATTTAGAACCAGCTAACAGAAAGAAATGATCAATGGTTTCTATGTTATCTCTTTGCCTATAACAATTTTTGTTTATACTACCACATACGATAGAATCCAGCAAGTTACAACATGATAAAATCAATGGAGACAGAAGAGCCATAGTTTGGTGCGGCTTTAAGACAAGATGGTATTAAATCAGCACTAGCTATTATTATGTCTTATTTTCTTCAAAGTAGCTGTTCATTGCATCACAGGCCATAATATCAAACATCCCAGAATAAAGCCATTCCAATTAATGAGCGAAAATTTTATAAGGCTTCAAGGCCACATAATGGGGAATCATGGTTATCACGTACTTTTATATATTTGAATCATTTCCTACACTAGGGAAACTATTCGGTGTTCACAGATGCGAGTTTGATTTAGTTCACTTTTGAGTATGGGTTCAAGCTGCACCTATTTATTGATAAATACCTCAATGTGATCCTTCTTTATAGCTGAGTAGTACTCCATTGTATAGAAATACCACAGCTTTTTTATCCATTCCTCAGTTGATGGACATTTGAGTTGTTTTCAAGATCTGGCAATTACAAATCGTGCTGCTGTAAACATAGGTGCGCATATATCACTGTGGTATGATGCTTTCAGTTCTTCTGGGAAGATGCCTAGAAGTGGAATAGCTGGAACAAATGGGACTTCCAATCCCAGCTTTTTGGAAATCTCCAGACTGACCTCCACAAAGGTTGTACCAATCTACACTCCCACCAACACTGTAGGAGAGTTCCTTTTTCCCCACAGCCTCTCCAGCACTTGTTGTTGTTGGTTTTCTTGATCCTGGCCATCCTTTCAGGAGTGAGATGGAATCTCAGTGTGGTTTTAATTTGCATTTCCTTAATAACCAATGATGATGAACATTTTTTCATGTATTTATTTGCCATTTGTATTTCTTCCTCTGAGAATTGTGTATTCATCTCAGATGTCCATTTTTGGATTGGATCTTTGAATTTTGGGGGTCTGATTTTTTAATTCTTTATATGTTTTAGACAAAAGTCCTTTGTCTGAGGGGGAGTTCACTAAGATCTTTTCCCAATTTGTGGGTTTTCTTTTCACTATGCTGGAGATTTTTTTTGACTTACAGAAACTTTTTAATAAGAGGTGGTCCCAGTTATTGATTCTGGGAAGTATTTCCCATCCAGTTTGAGTCCTGTTCATGAATTCTCTACCTACCCCTATATCTTCAAGGTTTTTACCCAATTTGTCCTCCAATAGATTTAGTGTTTCTGTTTTAATATTCAGATCTTTGATCCATTTAGATTTTAATTTAGTACATGGTAATAGGCTTGGGTTGAGTTTTAGTTTTCGGCAAATGCAGAGCCAGTTTTTCCAACACCATTTATTAAAAAGACTGTCGTTTTTCCAGTGAACCTGCTTGGCTCCTTTATTGAAGATAAGGTGGTTGAGTGTGTTTGTAGTTGTGGTTGTATCTTCTAATCTATTCCATTGATTCTCTGCTCTGTTTTGATTCCAGTACCATGTTGATTTTACTACTGTTGCTTTGTAGTATAACTTCAAGTCAGGGATTGTGATGCCTCCTGCCTTGCCTTTGTTGCTTAGAATTGCCTTTGATATTCTAGGTCTCTTCTGGTTCTGATGAACCTTAGGAGTGATTTCTCTAGATCTATAAGGTATGTTGATAGTATTTTTATTGGGATTGCATTGAATCTGTATAACAGTTTTGGGAGAATGGCCATTTTCACAATGTTTATTCTTCCTATCCATGAACATGGGATGTCGTTCCATTTTCTGAGATCATCTTCAATTTCTTCCTTCAATATATCATAATTTTCCCTGTATAGGTCTTTCACTTCTTTCATAAGAGTAATTCCTAAATATTTCATTTTTTTTCTTGCTAGTGTGAAGAGTGTGGCTTCTCTTATTTCTCTCTCTGTGATTTTATTGTTAGTGTATAAGAATGCTATTGATTTCTGAGTATTGATTTTGTACCCAGCTACATTACTGAATTTATTTGTTATATCTAAGAGTCTTTCAATGGAGTTTAGGGGGTCTTCTATGTAGAGTATCATGTCATCTACAAATAATGACAATTTAACTTCTTCTTTTCCTATCTTTACCCCTTTTATTTTTCTCTCTTGTCTAATTGCTCTGGCTAGTACTTCTAGTACTATATTAAATAGGAGAGATGATAAAGGGCATCCTTGTCTTGTGCCTGATTTTAAAGTAAATGCTTTCAATTTTTGGCCATTTAGTATGATACTGGCTGTTGGTTTGTTGTAGACAGCCTTTATTATATTGAGGTAAAGACCATCTATTCCAATTTTCTGTGAAGTTCTTATCATGAATGAATGTGGGACCTTATCAAAGGCTTTTTCTGCATCTATGGAAATGATCATGTGATTCTTACTTTTGGCTTTATTGATATGGTGGATTACATTTATTGATTTACGTATGTTGAACCATCCCTGCATGCCTGGGATGAATCCCACTTTGTCATGGTGTATAATCTTCTTGATGATTTGCTGCATCCTATTTGCCAATATTTTATTGAGGATTTTTGCATCTGTGTTCATTAGGGAGATTGGTCTGTAGTTCTCTTTTTCGGTTGGGTCTTTCCCAGGTTTTGGTACTAGAGTAATATTTGCTTCCAGGAATGACTTGGGAAGGATTGCTTCCCTTTCAATTTCATTGAAGAGTTTGAGGAGTGTCGGTATTAGGTCTTGTTTGTATTTCTTGTAGAATTCTGCAGTGAATCCGTCTGGGCCTGGGCTCTTCTTTGTAGGTAAGGAATTAATTACACGTTCAATTTCATTGATAGAGATTGGGTTATTCAGCAGTTTTACATCCTCTTGATCTAGCTTTGGTACTTCATATGTTTCTAAGAATCTGTCTATTTCTTCTATGTTATCAAACCTTTGAGAGTAGAGGTTTTCGAAACACGTGTTGATGATCTTCTGTATTTCTATTGAGTCTGTAGTGACTTCACCTTTTTCAGTTTTTATTGCATGGATTTGAGCTCTTTCTTCCCTTTTTAAAATAAGGTTGGCTAGGGGCTTATCAATTTTATTTATTCTTTCAAAGAACCAACTTTTTGATTCGTTGATTCTTTGGATTGTTTTCTTAGTCTCTATTGCATTGATTTCTGCTCTGATTTTTATAATTTCCTCTCTTCTTTTGGCTTTGGGCTTGACTTGCTCTTCTTTTTCTAGCTGTTTGATGTGTAGCATCATGTTGTTTATTTGTATTCATTCTGTTTTCCTGATGTGGGAGCTCAGTGCAATAAATTTTCCTCTGAGGACAGCTTTCATTGCATCCCATAGATTCTGGTAAGT